GGGGAATCTAGAAAAACAAAATAAAACTTTTTCCCAATGTAAGGAAAAATCCCTTAAAATATGTTTATTAATAAACCTGCTAAACTCCTTCCAAAACCTGCGTGTGAAAGGGCAGTGACAAAAAAGATGTCACAGTTTTTGGAAAGTCACCACAAAAACTGCAAACAATATTTATGTCTCTTTTAAATTTGATCATAGAATGTTTAGCGGGGTAAATTTTATGAAGGATTTTAAATGACACTTTCTTCACCTTATTTACAATTAAATATTTATGGCGGGTCATCCAGACTGTCTTCCAGTTGCTATCTGGGATATAACGGCTCCAATAAGATGTTCGAGAAACGATGCCTTCTAGGAACGACCTGCGTCTTCTCTTGTTGTTGTTACCATGATCCAAGCAGGTTTTCCACTGATGACTCAGCTGGACCAGGGAGACTAACTGGAGTAGACAGAGAACTGTTAGTGTTCTTAAACAACATGAAGGTGCCTGGGGGTATAGCGCTAACCACCAGTGAGAATTCTTGAAGACTAACTGGGACATTATATAGTGAGCAGAATTCATTGTAAAGTGAGTGGTCGTCCGTCCTTATTAACCAGCTGAGCCACCATAGCATCCCATTTTGAACCCAAGTCTCAAGGAAGCGTGACCTGTTTTTAAATAAAGTGTCTCTGTTGTTCCAGTTGTCTGTACTTCATGTTCTGTCTGGATCAGTCCCTCCTGTGAATGAGTCCTCGTGGCTCGTGGTGAAACTTCAGTAAAATCCCTCCAGCGATATATTCACTCAGTCGATGCTAAAGTTTTTAAAAGGAGCTCATTTAATAGTAAGCACTTGGAGGCGTGTGTGAACGGTCAGCTACTATAACACACCAAATTTTATACATCTGTAACCGGGGGGTGTCGTACGTACGCGCCGCACGTTTCTTTCACTTTTGCAGCTTAATAATAGTTTTGGTTTTCCTGTGACTTATTTGCAGCGTAAGAGCATAAATTAAATAAATTAAATAAATAAGCCTGTTGTTCTTTTTTTTGTGTAAGTCTAAATAATAAATTACACTTTTTTTTTTTTTTGCGAATATGATATACAGTAGAGCAGGGGTGTCAAACTCACTTACAAAAGGGGGCAAACCTTTTTCAAACTGAGGGCCAGTTTCAGAATCTACATCAACTCAAGTTAGAGAACAAACATCTTTTCTTGGTTGCAGGTTCCTCAACAGGAGTTTGATTGGTCTCATTTGACGTTCCCTGCTGCACTTTTGACATCATATTCAAAGATTACTGAAAATAATTGAAGCGATAAAAGTATTTTACATTTAAAACAACATCTTGAGGGCCAGATAAGATGTCAACGAGGGCCACATTCGGCCCCCAGGCCTTTAGTTTGACACATATGATACAGAGTCTTGATGTGATGTCATCGATTAGATGATCAAAAAGTAGTTTTTTTTAACGCCTTGATGATGCCTGACTGATTAGGGATCATGTGAATGATCCTTAGGGTGGTTTCCCACCATGCACCCCGTGTGGCCTGGGGTGCCCAGCCTGCCCTGGGGTGTTCCACAGGGATGGCCCCGCTCCGCAGAAGCGCCATCTCGACTTGAAAATGTTAATAACTTGAGAATAATTTATAGGACTTTGTTCCAATAAGAAAAATTCTGGATTCAAATTAAATATAGAAACATAAAGCCTGAATCATTTTGAACATCTATTTTTGACTATTAGCTGTTGAAGAACAGATGCATGATGGGAAATCAAAGAGGGCTGCATGACGTAAGAGTGTCCGCCACTGGCCAAATGCGGGTAAATGTTTGAAGTGGCGTACAAATTTGAACAATTATTATTATATTATAATTATTATTGAAAAAAAAAAAAGAGACCAGTCTGTATAAATAAAAGTTGAATGAAATAAAAAATAGAGAATGCACAAGTGGATTTCAAAGAGAAAACTAGAACAGCGATTTTTTTTTTATTATTATTTCCCAGCCGAGTAGGGAAACTCCCTCTACTGGCATCCCTGACCTGAAGGCTTTTTCTTTCTCTCTCACCTGAGCTGCACCTGTCCTCCGACGTCCTTTCGCGCACGCGCGTCGGCTGCACCCGGCGCGCGCCTCACGTGCACTCCTCAGCAGAGAGGGCTCTGGGCAGGAGGAGCGAGGCTGCTGCTGCTCACGCACGATCCGGACACCTCGCAGCCTCTCGTCAGTAACTTTGATGGGGACCTGGACTCTCAGCAGGGACCATGCCTGTGATGAAGGGCTTGTTGGCGCCACAGAACACCTTCCTGGACACTATAGCCACACGATTCGATGGCACTCGTAAGTTTGCTTTTCCTTTTTTCCATTAAATAAATGTTTTAATAGGTCACTAGTTTCAGTTTTAGGCAGAGTGAAACAGAGAGGGTGAAGCTGCAGAGCCTTTCAGTGACTTTAGAAGAGTTGAGGCGTTCAAGGACCAGTAGGACACAGTCCAGGACCCTGGAGAGCTCCCACACACACCAGCCTGCAGCTGTCTGTGGTGCTGAAGCAACCGAGCCCAACTTTCAACTTCATATTGACTCGTGAACATCTTTATTAAAAATGAATACATGCGTGTATATTACACGTTCACGTGGATATTTGGTGGGAAACAGTGTGGGGAGTGGTGGCGCAGAGGTTAGTGAAGATGGACGCTTCAACTCCTCGTACGGAAAACATCAGAATGTGTGTGGTAAAGGTGAAGCACTCACACCTGCCTCCACACTCATTTGTCCCACTCTGGGTCCTTGAGCAAGGCACTTAACCTCCACCATCTCCTCCACCGGGCGCCCTACATGGCAGCTCTCTGCTCCACACAGAGGCTGTGGTAGCTCATTGGTCTGTGGTTGCGTCAGGAAGGGCACCCGGCGTAGAAACGATTTCCAAGTTTTCGTGTGAGTTAGTTCGCTGTGGCGAGCCCTGAAGAAGGGAGCAGCCGAAAGAAGAAGATTTGGAGGGAATCGGCGACACCAGCTGATGTTTGCTCCAGTCCATGTATTCAGGATTTAAAAGACAGGAGTCCAGTCCAGCTCCTGGAGGGCCACTCTCCTAAATGTTTTACTTGTTTCCCTGCTTCCACACACCTGATTCAATGGTTCAATCACTTCTCCATGTGCTGCAGGAGCCTCTTGATCTCCTTTTATTCAAATCAGGTGTTTTGGAGCAGAGAAACACCTAAAACATGCAGGGCAGTGGAACTCGAGGACCAGGATTGAACTCCCCTAGTTGACCCAGTGGATGAGTCGGGGACGAGCCATGTTGTCCATCACAGTCCAACAACAAGTTGATCAAATCCAACCACATGGACCTCTGCTTGAGAATGTCACAATTGAAGGTTAGACTGAAAAAGTAGCTTAATGGAAAATGTTCAACCTGGTTTGTTTTGGTTGGGTTTGGTTTCCTGCTTGGTGCTAGCTAGGTAATGCTAATAGCAGTTAGCCACTGCTAACAAGCACCAACACAAGCTGTAGTTATTTAATATGACTGATTTTTTTTAACTTGAGATTTTTGACCCTCTAATTGAACAAAGTAGTAATTTTAACCAAATAATAGTGTTGAAAACTTAACCCAGTACTCTGGGTCAAAATGGTAACTCAACCCTCGTAAATCATGTTGATTTTAACTCAGCAGTTTTAGAAACACCTTGTTGTCCATGTGCATTTTATAAAGACATGCCTGGATTTTATGGTGGCTTATCGGTGAGAAGGTTGTCGGATTGAATCCCGGCTGGGAGGCTTTCTGGTTGGAGTTTGCATGTTCTCTCTGTGCATTTGTGGGTTTTCTCCATTTTCCTCCTGCAGACCAACAACATGCATGTTAGGCTGATTGGTGACTCTAAATTAGTGTGAGTGAGAGAGTGAATGGTTGTTTGTCTCGTTTGATGGACTGGAGACATGTCCAGGGTGTCCCTCGTCTCTCACACAGTGATAGCTGGACACGAGCACCAGTAACCCCCATGACTCAGAAAGGAAGAAGAGGATAAAGATAATGGATGGACAGTTTATAGCTTTATCATATGAAACAAGACTTATAAATAGTTTGTCAAATTTGGAAATAATAACGTGTCTTGTTTGTGAGTTTAAGATTTGTCTGAACATGCAGCGATCTTTAAAACCACTTTTAAACGTGGCAACATCTGAACTTAGAGTAATCATCACATACATAATATTATCACGTGCAGAAGCTATTTTTTTCCTACCAATTCACCACCTGACCACGTACCCAATGAGCTGAGGCCTCCTTTATGTTTCGCTTATAAAGTAAATTATGTGGCAAAATAAACCCACACACACTCTGCAGGCGGGGCACAAGTCCTGCTCCAACACAACAGAATAAAAGAGCTTCTGTACAGCACGAGTAGTTTGTCAGGCTGCAAAGAATGAGCTGCTGTCCTTGAGCCGGCGAGGTGGAGGAAATTAACGTTGGATTTGAAGTGCTAGATGGAGCAAACTGGAGGCAGCAGAGCCTGACGCTACAAATTAGGTCTGATGGTCTGGTCAAGAGCAGATATAAGGGAAGAGCGGAGGTTTATCTCTGCGGGATCCTGTTTCAGATCCTCCGGAGTTGGAGACAGTGACAAATTGATAAGAGTTGGAGGGAGGCAACTATTTACCATGATCTCGTTTGTACTTTCAGAACAGGCCTATACGGTTAAAGGAGTCGCTTTGTCTTAGGTCTGACAGAGTAAATAAATAAATAAATAAATAAAACGTGGTCCCCGTTCACAGCAACACAAACAAAATGCTTGAACTTTAAGGTTGATCCCAATTGCAATGAATCAAAACTAGATAAAAGTGGGATCATACCTGTTGGTTCAAAGGAAACAATTCTGAATCCTTTTCTATGAAATAAAGATCTGCGTGTGTTTGCTGAGCTGGTTTTAACCGTACGATGAATCCGCGTGTGAAAACGCTACAACACCTTCTGTCATTCTGACAGTCCTTCTCCATCCAGGTGACTAATCTCACCACCTGTCCATCACTGGTTCTGTGTGCCGTGGCGTATGATGCGTGTCATGGCCAGGCTCTAACAGAATTATATTCTACCTACTTCTAGACCAAAAATAGAAACTCTTCCCAAGTTTTGGTTGACACCAAATGTAAAAAAATTAAATAAAAACCAAAAAATGTTTTCCAAAGTTCAACTTGTTTTTGATCAACGTGTAATTGTGCACTTCATGGAAATGTATTACTTTTCTATTGATTAGTTTACTCAATGTGACACTGACGTCTCCGTCCAAAAGGACATAAAACAGGACAGGATGACAACTAGAAAAGGACTTTGGACATCTTGGACAACCTGAGCTGCAGGAAGCACTCACCTCCTACACAGCTGAACTACAGCTGAACTATTTTTGCCACTACAGCCTTGCTCTATTTCAGAGTTCTTGCTGACGAGACTTTTCTGTTAACAAGCGATAGCCATCATTGGGGACAGGAAGACTGGAGTGGGCTGCCTTCTTGCCAAATGTAGCAGATTGGTGATAGTGTTGTAGCCGAGAGCTGAGTAGCTCGTCCTGCACCCATTCATCAATAACGCCACGCAGGATTTTCTTTTAAGAAGTTACTTTTGGTTATAATCACTGATGGAAAGGCTTGAAGTAGCTGCAGAGTCATAATGTTAGTCGTAGTTAGCTCCAAGTCACAACAGAAGTCATCTCAGGGCACTGCACAGGAACATTCACATGTAAAGTCAGTCTATAATGTTGTTTATGTAAGGAGCCAGCAGACTGTTTGGAGTTTCACTTCAGCGCAGTCGCCCATCCTAAGCAAGCAGTAGCAATAGTAGCAATAGTACTGATTATCTGCGAGTAAAGGTTCTGTTTCCTCCCGTGAGCCTCTTAATCGTCACAGAACCTCGTGTGCCGACTAAAGCTGAGGTCAAAGGTGAAAACGAGAGATTTTCTAAAAAGGGTCAGATTGAATGCTAAAAGTGAGCTGATGCTTAAAAAACAGCAAAAAGAGAAATAAAAGTTGCTACTAAAAAACTCAATACTCCAAAATGCTAGCTGAATGCTAAAAAGTAAAAAAAAAAAAAAAAAGCACGATCAAACTTACAAAACAGTAGCTAAAGAGAAAAATTACCAAAACGCTAACTGAAAGCCAAATGTGTCAGAAATATAGCTAACAGTTAAAAGTAACAACAAGGCCTGGGAAAAGCTAAAGGTAGAAAAAAGTTTACCTAAAAGCAGAAAAATGCAAGATAAAACAATCAGAACACTAGCTAAAAGCTAACATCTGCAAAAGGCTAGCTGAAATCTACAAGTAGCAAATGGCTACTTGAGGCTTATAGCAGCAAAACATTACTGGTAGTTAAAAAGCATCAAAAGACTAGTTAAAAGCTAAATGTAGCCAAACGCTAGCTAACAGTAGCAAAAGGTTAGCTGTAAGCTAAATGTTGCAAAAGGGTAGCTGGATGCTAAATGTAGCAAAAGGGTAGCTGAAAGCTAAATGTAGCAAAACATTAGTTAAAAAGCATCAAAAGACTAGTTAAAAGCTAAATGTCACCAAATGCTAGCTAACAGTAGCAAAAGGTTAGCTGTAAGCTAAATGTTGCAAAGGGGTAGCTGAATGCTAAATGTAGCAAAAGGGTAGCTGAAACTAAATGTAGCAAAAGGGTAGCTGAAAGCTAAATGTAGCAAAACATTACTTAAAAAGCATCAAAGGTCTAGTTGAAAACTAAATGTAGCCAAAAGCTAGCTACAAGTAGCAAAATGTTGCCTAAAAGTAGCAAGAGGTTAGCTGTAAGCTAAATGTAGCAAAAGAGTAGCTGAAAGCTAAATGTAGCAAAAGGGTAGCTGAAAGCTAAATGTAGCAAAACACTAGTTAAAAAGCATCAAAGGTCTAGTTGAAAGCCAAATGTAGGCCAAAGCTAACTAAAAGTAGCAAAATGAGAATGGTGTGTAGGTTTTTTTTCTATTGATATGTACGTAATCATGTGTATTTATCTGTGCACAACTTATAATAAGAGTAGTAAAATAGAAGTTTTTTGGCTTCTGATTAACTTTTTAAAATGCTAACTTTGTGTTAAACGTGGCTGTGGGACGCTGCATTGTAATTACCACGTGCTGTCACATGAACCCTTAAAAACCCAATTAAAGATGTGGCACAGCAGAGAAAGTCAAAATCCTGCCGAATCAAAGAACACAAGGCGTGGAGTCTACATGGCTTCCTGAAACCAGCAGCCCTTTGACCTGCATGAAGACCAAGGACGATAATTACTGAGCATGAAAGACCACAGACTGACACAGAAGTTTCTGCAATGTTTATTAAAGTTAAGATATCCTGTACTGAAATAATGCT